TCGTTGTTCGTATCACACAAATGTGCAGACTTAAGTACTTCAGTATGATGTGATTCATGTAATTGGTTGCTTAGCAGTGCATGCAAGAGCAGATCATAGAGTGATATCATCTTCGATGACATGAATTAGTCAGCCATAGGGCAATTTTCTTCTATTTCGCACCGGGGCCCGAAATCCTGGAGACGGCCCTGTTCGGTGGCAGTCCGGCCATGACACAGACCGCCCGATTCTGCTCTCGTACAAGGGTGCGCGTGTTCCCCCGCTGCCGTTTCTTCACAATGCGGGCGCGGATGGCTTCCTCCTCTGCAGTCGCCCGCGCCGTCGTATCAGCTACTTCTGCCTCCGCCAATTTCTTCCCACGGCGGACTGCCCGTTCCCAGTGGGACTCATAGTCTACCCGGGCGGTGATGGGGGAGGAGAGATTTTTCGGCTGCCGGGACCGCGATGATCCAGCCCCAGAGGACCCGAGCGCCCATTGAGCCGACGCAATGGAGTCACACCGGACAGATCCGTCCATCGGCCGAGCGCTGTCCTCACGGAAGCGGTGGAGTGCAATGCGGACTGACATTGCCTCCTCCAACCCGCACGGGATGACATCCCAGTCGACGGATTCGGACTGGTCGGAGTCAGATCCGCTGCCCCGCCATGTCGGAGATGGCCGAAAATCGCCAGAGGTGAGCTCAGGTGGCGGAGGGAGTGAAGGGGAGAGGAGTGTGAAGTTTCTAGGGTTTGGTCCGGCGAGCGGATGGGGACGAATATATATGGGTCGGGTGGGCCCGCGTGGGCCGGGTCCGACGTGACAAACGCATCCGGGGGCCCGCGTATCCGCCTCATATTTGGGCTGAATATGAAAGGTGCCGGTCAGCCCGGACGTTTGAGGCCCGTTTAAGACATCCGTCTGGGTCGAAAAATCGTGATTGGGTAGACTGCCTGGGCGTTTGAGGAGGGTTTGGAGCACCCGGCTGTATATGCTCTTAGGTTCCTCATGCACATTAGACGTCATTATTGACTTTTTAATCATAAAAGAATTTAGAACCTGAAAGTGTTTGCATTCATGTTGTCAAGGAAATTGATCTCATGTAGTGCATCTAAATTATGTTTTTGGTCTATCACATTACAAATTTGGTTAATACAAATTCAAATCCATGCCATGGTTGTGAAAAAACTTTTTGGTACAGAAATCTCCAAAGGAAGTAAAACTAAATATATTTGCAATTGTGTGATATCAATGGGTCATGTTCCCACAACACACTTTTCATTAATACCTTTTTTTAGAAAAGGGCGCCATGGCTTGCTTTATTGAATGCAAATATTGGTTTCATCATCCACTTTTGTAGCATTGATCTTGTTTTACTTGACGTTCGACATTTCTCGACATCTCTCACAGTAAAGTGGGAAGTTTTGTGCTCACATGGAATGGGTGACCTGAAATTTGATGACACATGTTAGCATCGGTCGAAATATAAAGATTCTACGTTAATATAGTGTACATAAGAAAGTGTGAAATATGAAAATGAGAAGTACCAGATTTACTAAAATGTCAAATATGAAAATGAGAAGTAACAACTTTACTATACTATCTGATGAATTTAAATAATAAAAGGTGAATGTATAATATCTTAAAATGTGAATCATTCTTGAAATATTAAATACAAATATTTCAGAAGCTCGGATGGGTTGGAAGCCCCCACCTTCAGGTTATATCAGAATTAATGTCGACGCTAGCTTTGTGAAAAGTATTAGTGCGGCAAGTGTGGGTGTGGTGGCTAGGGGTTATGCTGGCAAAGTTATGATCTCTTCATGGGACTACATTGGGAGGTGTAATAGCATGGAGGAAGCGGAACTCTGAGCTTGCATTGCTGGTCTCTATATAGATATAACACTACATTCTCCTATAATTTTAGAGACTGACTTTTGTTGCTGCGATTTTTGCAAATGAATTTGATGATAGATCAGCTCTGCACGATCTAAAGAAGGAAGCATGGGGTATCTCTAAGCTAATGGATAGCTTCAGAGTTTCAAAGATTAGGCGTTCCGCTAATAAGATGGCCCATCTAATAGCTAAGTTTAGTTTTGATAATAGAGCGGATGGGATTCTTGTTAATGATGTACCGCCTTATGTGGTGAATTCTGTAATGAACGATTGTAACACGTCTTTTGGTTAATTAATATATGAGGTGGTGTTAAAAAAAAATACAAACATGAATGCAAGTGGGGCATTTCCTATCGATCTAGTTGTACCTAGGCACCACTGTTAATCTATTCAATTATGTAAGTTTTTATCTTAAATGCTCAGCCTACAAAAACTATTAAGGATTATTCCTTCGCAATTTAGAGAAATTAACTATTCTCAACAGGGAGACAATGTGTCCAAAGGGAATTTCATACCTCCTCGCTCACTGGAAGCTTATTGAGCATATTGACAATGTTCTCTATGGAAGGTCTCTTCTTCTGATCAATCTCTACACACTGTAGACCAATATTGATACATGCTTCTACTTGATCGAAACCATGTTCTTCTAACTCAATGTACTCAGACATTATTTTCTCCAGTGTCCAATTTTCTTTTACCTACATAAAAATGTGAAACCATCATAATGCAAGGAAATCAACTAAGAGAATATTCTCAATTTTTAGTCTTCAAATGATAAAGTATATTAATTCTTACTCCATCAATATATTTCCTTGCATGCTTCTGGTCAGTGCTAGAACTATTCATCTCTCTCGTGGATATCTCCATTATGATTAGGCCTAAACTATATATGTTTGACCGAGCCGAGATTTCGCCATTGTACAGATACTCCGGGGCCATGTACCCACTAACAGCATTAGCATCAAGGTATTAATCAGCATTATTAATTGGAGATGTGAAAATGAGTTTTGCAATACAGTATAGGAACAAGATAGCTGATATATCACTATAATAAACATGCACTAACTTACATCGATCCCACGACACTTCGTGTGTTCTTTCGGGTTTGATCTTGGCCGAATATTCTGGAGAAACCAAAATCCGCAATTTTCGGTGTCATGTTGTCACCCAATAGTATATTTTGAGGCTTCAGACCCAAATGGAGAACGGGACTAGGCAAGGTATGTAGAAAATGTATACCCTCACATATCCCCTTTATTATTTTAAAGCGCATATCCCAATCAATGCTACTGGATTCACCTGAAGTAACATGTCATGGAATTTTATAGTTTATCTACGATGGTGGATAAAAATGATAATAATAACTCAGAATAAAAAACGACAGCAAAGATCTTCTGAAGTGAAAAATCTCCACCAAAACAACAGCAAAATTCTTCTATTGATAATGTGTGATGTTATCCTTGTCTACTCCAAAGGATAACATCACACGTTATCAGTAGAAGAATCTTGCTTGCTAGCAATATTACCGGTGTGAAGAATAGAGGACCTTATGCAAAGTCATGCTAGAACTCCAAACAAGGTGCATGAAAAATAATAGCAAATGATATATGACATACCAAAAAGATTCTTGTGAAGGCTCCCCTTAGGCAAGTATTCATAGCAGAGTACAGTGTCAGTGATCTCTGCGATAATATATCGTCCGTTGCTCTGCACCAATTTGTTTTGTGCTTCCCGGCAGTAGGCAACCAACTTGACGATATTTTCATGCTCGAGCACCATAATATTCTGAACCTCATTCGCGAATATTGTGTCACGTGGTACAGGCGAATTTTCCGCGAGCTTCTTCACAGCAACCACTCCACCATCGTCCAGGATCCCCTGTTCAATGTCACAAAAAACTAATCTAACTTAGCACCTTCCCGTATCAACATCTGAATTGACAGAAAAAATTGTGGCAAAATCATACGGTACTACCTTATAAACTGACCCGAACGCGCCCTGACCGAGCAGTAGCTCATCGGAGAAGTTCTTTGTGATTTTGTTCAAGAAGTCTAATGGTAGCTCGTTCGGTAGGCTCTTCAGGGTCATACCTCCGGTGGCCATTAATTGCTGATGATATAAGAAGCTGCCGATGCGATCAATTACAGCGTGCAATTTACGAAAGCAAGGAAGTTGCTGAACAACATCACTAATTAAGTACGCACAAGGAAGCTGTATCTGGAAATAATTGAGCAGTTCGTCAAGTGCACTGACCTTGGAGGGGAACGCTTCTCGTCCTCGATGATGGATCCAAGCTGTGGGAAGAGAACACCGGGAGAGGGAATGAACTTCAGATCTGGGATGAATAGACTGCTTGCTCCCGGTGCCACTGCCCACTACTATGTGTAAAGCAAAAGCAAAGAAGCAAAGGAGAGATATTTCCTATGATCGGTTGACTTGACTGTCGCTAGCCTAACATGTTCTTTCACCTGGGTCCGCCCTCGTCAGTAGACGCGGTTTGGTCTGATTTTACTTCTGGTTCAGTTTCCTTGTCAACAGGTAATTTCGGTCACATGCATTTTATTTTATTTTTGAAAAAACTTTCAATCTGTTCATCAAACATCATGCATTTTGGCTCGTAAGCATTCGTTAACTCAATATGTTTGCATCCCGCTCACAAAACGATATATTTTCTGAGACAGGAAGCCAAACAAGATCAAGTCCACGTCATATTCATGTGTAGTCACGAGCATGCAGTTCTTCATCTTATGTAGTTGTATAAATTGCTTCAAAAGCAATCCAACATTCGGTTTCTGCAAGAGCAGAGAAGCTATGCCCAAAAGGGAGCGGTGATAGAACTGCGGTCAGTACGTGACCAAAAAGAAAAGTCAGACTAGAAGGACACGCTCTCTTCACCAACGAGTATTCTGTTGGAATTCTTCACGAACCAGCATTTTTGGCAACGACTTCCCATGTTTAGAACACACTCATGTACAAGAAAAATAAATACAACCTACGTCGATTACCAACACAGCCACACAAACATCTACAAGTTGAACACACACGCTTATTTCTGGTATAGAACTGGGGAAAGAAATAGAGTTATCAACAGAATAATTTGACAGGTCACGCTCCGTCTCCCTGTGTATCAATTGGCGCTGACGAGAAAAGCATGCTGGCACACTCCACACTCGACTGTTTCAGAGCCAGAGATTGGGACTTCAACCTGCAGTTCAACATTCATTTGATATGTTATGTTAGTGACCAACCAACAATTATTACGAGACCATTTTATATTTCAGCTATACACTCCCTATAATTTGTGACGGACCTGAAGATGGACTGTGCAGGTAGGGCACGCAACTTCCCGCATTCTTGCTCCAGATGCACCTCCAGACGCCGTCCCTTTGACAGAAGAAATTTTAAAATTTTGTTGCATTACTAATGTTAAAAAATGCATTTCATGGGAACATGAAAATACCTGAAGACTTGCGATTCCTCTCCAGTTCCTCCTGTTGATCAAAGGAAGTTTTTGTTAAATCATTGATTTCACAGAACAGATCACATTAGCTTCAGTCTTCGCAGTCATAATAATAACTACTCCCTCTGTACCGAAATACTTGTAGTTGGTCCAACTTGTACAAGTATTTCGGAAAAGAGGTAGTATAATGGTAACACAATTTTCCAAAATCTAATTAGTAATAGGATCTAGAGTACGGTTTCCAAACACTAGATTACAAATTTAGTCACTACAGCAATAGACACTGCACAAAATATGCAAAGCTGCCAAAATAACCATACTTCATTTGCAAGAAGTTCAAAAACAGGAAGATCTTCAAATAATAATGCTGCTCCTCTGTGCTTCCACATTTGGTTATATTTTTTTAGATCAAACAACACCAACAACAAGAAAGCGTTTCAGTCCCAAACAAGTTGGGGTAGGCTATAGTTGAAACCCATAATTCTGGCACATGGATAGCTAATTTCCACGCACCCCTATCCATGGCTAGTTCTTTGGTGATATTCCAGTTCTTCATATCTCTCTCTTTATAGACTCCTCCCATGACAAGTTTGGTCTACCCCGACCTATCTTGGCATTATCAGCAATTCAGCACGATTTATCCATCCGCTATGCACTGGCGCTTCTGGAGGCCTGGCGTTGTATATGCCCAAACCATCTCAGATATCAGTGTTACCCAGCTATCACGTATATCATCATTCCTAACCAATCCTTTCTTGTGTGGCCACATTCATGTCAACATGCGCATCTCTACTACACCTAACTGTTGGACATGTTGCCTTTTATTTGGCCAACATTCTGCTTCATACAACATCGCAGGTCGAATCGCTATCCTATAGAACCTGCATGTTAGCTTTTGTGGCACTATTGTCACAGAGGAAGCTTGGCGGCACTTCTTCCATCAAGCTTTGATTCGATGGCTCACATCTTCATCGATATCACCATCCTTCTGCAGCATTGACCCCTAATATCGAAAATTGTCCTTCTGAGGTATCACCTGCCCATCAAGGATAACCTCCTCGTGGCTAGTAGTACTGAAACCGCACCTCACATACTCAGTTTTAATTCTACTAAGCCTAAAACCTTTCGATTCCAAAGTCTGTCTCCACACCTCTAACTTCCTTTATTAACCCCCGTCCGACTATCGTCGACAAGCACCACATCATTTTTTTTCGAGAAAACGCAAAAGACCTTTGCGTTTCATTTCATTGAAAAGATAGGGAGTCGATTACAGTCGTCCTAGGACGAATAAGCACCACATCATACACCATGGGATATCTCCTTGTATCCCTTGTGACCTCATCCATCATCAAAGCAAAAAGAGAAGGGCTCAAAGTTGACCCTTGGTGCAGTCATATTTTAATTGGGAAGTCATCAATATCGTTATCACTTGTTCGAACACTTGTCACAACATTATCATATATGTCCTAGGTGAGGGTAACGTATTTTGTTGGGACTTTGTGTTTCTCCAAGGCCTAAAACATGACATTCTATGATATCTTATCGTAGGCCTTCTTCAAGTCAATGAACACCATATGCAGGTCCTTCTTTTGCTCCCTATAAGCTCTCGTACAAGAAATGGCTTCATGGTCGACTTCTCGGGCATGAAACAAAACTGTTTTTTGGTCACGCTTGTTATTCTTCTTGAGTGGTGCTCAATGACTCTCTCCCATAGATTCATTGAATGGATATCAGCTTAATTCCACGGTAATTAGTACAACCTTGAACACCTCTCACCCCCCACCCCCCTGTTCTTGAAGATTGGTACTAATATACTCCGCCTCCATTCTTCTGGCATCTTGTTTGACCAAAAAAATAAGGCTGAAAAGCTCAGTTAGCCATTTTATCACTATGTCTCCAAGGCCTCTCCACGCCTCAATGGGGATACAATCAGGACCCATCGCCTTGCCTCACCTCAAACTCCTAGATTCGTCACACAAAACGTCTGTTGACTGTTGATATCGTCAAATGAGTCATCCAGCTCAATGGTAGAGCTCTCATGCTCGCCATTGAACAGCATGTCGAAGTACTCTTGTCATCTATGCCTGATCTTCTCGTCCTTGACCAAAAGCCGATCTGCTTCGTCCTTAATGCATTTGACTTGGTTGACATCCCTGGTCTTCATCTCCTAGATCTTGGCCATCTTATAGATGTTCGTCTTCATGTTTAAACGCTAGTAGAGGTCCTAGTACACCCGACCCCTTGCTTCACTCACAGCTCGCTTTGCGGTCTTCTTTGCCACTACTATGTTGTCAACACTCCTATTCGGGTGTAGGCGCCTGAAACAGTCTCTTCTCCTTAGGCCTCCTTTGGTTCATAGGATAGGATAGGAATACCATGGAATAAGAAATCCATAGGAAGAGAGAGACATGTATCTCATTTCCTATAGGGAAAGGAATGTCATTTGATTCACAGGACAAGAATTTTTCCATTGGGTCTAGGCTGACTTTTTTTCCTTTGAAATGTGAAAAATTGGTTCTTATCTTTCATAGGAATAGGAATCAATTCCTACAAAGGCCTCCTTTGGTTTGTAGGAATCTCATAGGATTCCTATAGGATAGGATTTGCATAGGAAATTTTCCTTTGAAGCCCTTTGGTTTGTAGGAATGGATTCCTATTCATATGTAGGATAGGAATCAATCGTTCACATTTTGGAGGAAAAAAAACATTAGCTAAGACTCAATGGAAAAATTCCTATCCTATGCATCAAATGACATCTCTTTCTCTATAGGAATTGAGATACATGTCATCTCACTTCCTATGATCTTCCTATTCCTATAACATTTCTATCCTATGAACCAAAGGAGGAAGGGCTTCAAAGGAATTTTTCCTACAAAATTCCTATCCTTTAGAATTCCTTAAAAATTCCTATAAACCAAAGGAGGCCTTAGCCTTCTGGACATCATTGTTCCACTACCAAGTATCTTTAGCTTCACTTCTACTTTGCTTGGTCACCCTGAACTCCTCTGAAGACAACTTCCAAACGCAAGTTGCCACCTTCATCCACATATTGTTTGCATCACCTCCTTCCTCCCAAGAGCCCTCCTCAATAACCCTCTCCTCGAAAGCCTAATATGCCTCCCCCTTGAGCTTCCATCACTTCGTTCTAGCGACTTTGAATCGCTTATAAGCTGGACATAAATTCGAAAGCAGAAGTCAGCCACCACAAGCTTATGTTGAGGGACAACACTCTATCCATGTATCACCATACAATCCAGGCAAGCATGCTTGTCTTCTCTTCTCAAGAGGACCAAATCAATTTGGCTACAGTGTTGACCACTACTGGAAGTCATTAGATGGGATTCTCTCTTTCTGAAGAGGATGTTAGCTACGATCATGTCGTAGGCTAAAGCGAAGCTTCAGACATCCTATGAAGAGCTTCTCGCCAATAGGTACACTCCTAACATGTCCTCCAAGCGTTCGTGGAACTCCCTCTCGGTGCTCTCATTGTGGCCTACTTGTGGGGCATGCGCACTGATAACATTGAGAACTAAGTGCCCTACGACCAGCTTGAATCCGGTCTCCTTGCCTCTTGACGTCTACCACTCCATACTTGAGGCTCTTGTTGATCAAGATGCCTACGCCATTTCTGTTTGTAGTTGTCCCGGTGTACCACAACTTGAAGCCAGAATCCTCCAACTCCTTCGCCTTATGTGCCTTCCATTTTGTTTCTTGGACACATAGGAATCAACACCTCTCCTCACTGATGTATACCCTACATTCCAGCTACCTAAGCGGATCCTACTAGGCTCAGCTATCTTCCTTACCCTTCGCACTTTTTAGATCAAAACAAACAAGGAAAGAAATCAAAGTATGGCTAGGGGACTCCTTTTAGCACAAAGTAAGTTTTCAAATTTGGTCTTATTCGGCGGAATTGGCTTGTATATCTGGTTTGTGGCCAAAACTATGGCAATATTCCTTTTCCATTGGCATCCAAGTTCATTTTTTGCCACTTATATGGGTGTATCACATAGAGAAAGGGTCATCTAGTATATTACCTTCAGTTTTTTTGCAAGATCTCCATGACTTTGCACTGTGGTAGATCTGTTTGCAGCTTCCTGTGCCATACTAAGCCTCTGAGAAACCTCTGCCTGTGGAAGACAAGAATTATTATGAGAATTTGGCAGCATCTCTTTACACGTAAAGCATATTTTCACACGCGACTATCAAAAGCTGGAATAGTAGTGCAGCGAAATGCTATCCATAATACAGCCGCTACACTGGTAATAATAATGAAAGACAAATAAATGCAAAGGATCTGAGCCACTGAGTAGGAAAAACACCAACAATAAGAAACACAATAAATAGATTTAACAAAATGAATGATGGCAAAAACAACTACAGCGAAGTCAAAGACATGCCTAGGGAGACATGCTAAGCAACCCAACAAAGGCTGAAGAGTTGTAACAAACTTGGCGACGTAATTCTTTTTCCAGTTGGCTAGCGGGAAAAAAAGTATGAATTTGACACCTTTCTTTTAATAAGGTAATTATTGTCAACAATATTTGGAAGGAAACAGAGAACTAGAAAGTGAATACAGCAAACTTTGAACTAAGTCCACACAGTAGCAGAACATACCATGCATCTATCGCAAACTCGGACAAGTGGAGCATTATCTTCAGCTGTCAGAGCAATTCTTCCTTGGCTGCATTTATCACAGAAGATCTCGCCACAGTTCCTACAATGATGCTGGAACAAAGAATAACAAACTCATATCAACACATTATAACTTCATTGTTCTGATGATAACATGAATAGCTGAACAAAGCTACTATATAAATTACCCTGCGGTTGAAATGACTGAAATCACCAGCACAAGACTGGCATTTCTTAGCAGCCTCATCTGGAACCTGAAAGTAGAGACACAGTAACAGTACACATTAAGTATATTGCAACATTTGATGCAAGAATGCGAGAAGAAAAATATTCATAAGATTATTAAATGGAGGTCCCACCTGAATCAATTACTTCAAAGGGTTAAGAGTTTAAGGGATCATGGATGACAAGAAATGCTCCTAAACAGTTCTACAGAAATAAGTAATAAAGTGATGTGTTTCAAACAATCATGTGACTACCATGCAAGTAAATGGGTATTGAGCAGCTTCATCTTACCCAATGATCTTTCACTTCATCAACAGGTTTCGCAAACATCCAATCAAAACCTTTTTTCTTCTCATTTGATTGTATTGAGGATTTGCTAGCGTCTACCGGTCCTTTGGCTCTTGCATCTTCACCGATCTCCTTAAACTATGTTATAGAATCACAAAAGTAAACAAGGCTTAATCTAAGGAAGAAATTCTTAATGCAACATGTAGAATCAAACAGTGTCACGTATGTAGTTCCAAGCTAGTAACCAATCTGGGCAACAAAAATATCGAATATTAACATAAAAATCCATGTAAACAAAAATATGGCTAAAATAGAATCAGCAAGATAGGAGCAATTCAAACACAACAAGTGTAAAAGAACAGATAAAAACATGTTAGCACACAACAAAAAATTGGCATGAGAATTTACTCGTCCGGTCATACTATAGAAGGCGAAATATTCATGAAAAAAATACTCCCTCAGTTCCTAAATATTTGTCTTTTTAGAGATTTCAAATAGACTACCACATACAGATGCATATAGACATTTTTTAGAGTGTAGATTCACTCATTTTGCTCTGTATGTAGTCACTTGTTAAAATCTCTAGGAAGACAAATATTTAGGAACAGCGGGAGTACATATTTCATTTTTTACTACCTATCTTCGGTCCAAAATGTATGCCATTTCAGTACTAAACAGCTCTCACCAAATAACCCTATTGATAGTTTATCGATAGTAATATTGACTGATCAGCATAATTGGGTAAACCATGCAAAAAAATAAGACATTAGCTCCTTATTTCCACAAGTATGGAGTTAGAATAACATGTAAACTGAACCAGAAGTACCAAACCAACACCATAGCATGGATAGATAACTAGAGTAAACCATTCGTACTGATAGTTATTACAGATATAGTTGAAATGTGAAGCAGCAACACGCCCCGTAAAGCATTGAGAAGAAGAATTTTCACTGTTTTCAATATAGTTAGGAGGCTACTCACAGATGGTGAAAAGATAATGGTGGTGTTGTAATACCTGGACTGTTGCTGCTGTTACAGTGTCAAGCAAAGTATTGGAAGTATAGCTGTTTGACTTCAGCCTTATTCTCTTTGCTTCAAAATCCACCGAAGTCTTTGCCCAAATCGCAAATACAGTTGAATCCAAAACCTAAATAAGCAGTGTCAACCATTAGAATGCCCTCACTACTGCATATCATGAGAAAATATAACCATAATCTTCTGCAAAAATGCTGTCCAACACACCTCCCATTTCGTCAGTGTATCAAGGGGATAAATCCTTAGGATCCTGCTTGTGCTGGGATCAAGCATGCGGATTCCATCCAGACCAACCTGCAACAGCATATAATAATTAGTAAGTACAGATTTTATGTATCATAACAGTCCTTCAATATGGAAGTTGGAACAAGCACATATATGTTGCAAAACCATAGAACGATATCATAATTTCGGAGTGAAACAATACACCTAACATGCCTAAACTGATAATCATACCGTTACTGAAGTTGTACCTGGCAAAGCACATCGGTAGGGCTTCCAGCACCCTCTGGCAGCAGCTTAACCCGAAATTTCTGCGCACCACCACTAGCATCCTCATGGGTTTCTGCTTTTGGAACAGCCCTTGCAATCTTCCCAAAGCTCCCACCCACACTGCCGCCCCCGCCGCCGTGTGGCTGCTCCGTCCCTCCGGACGAGAGTCCAATCGACCGCCCGTAGTCATCAAACATCGCGGCTCCTGACCGGGTCGGCGCCGTGCCCCGCGCGCCGTACGGCTCGGGGCCTGCGTCGCCGGTATAGGCATACGCGCCCTCGTTCAGGTAATCGTCGTCGCCATACCCAGCGGCGGGCTGCTGGTAGCCTCCGCCGTAGTACGGGGCGTCATAGGGAAGAGGCGCTGGGCTGGGTTCCGCTGCGGGAACCGGCTGGGTCGGCTGCGAGTAGCTGTAGTACGGCGCCGGCGAGGGTTCAGGCGGGTAGGGCGTGGGGTTGTAGGGCGGGTACCCGGCGTACTGGGGCGGCTGCGTGTAGGACGGGGCGGATGGCGGCTGCTCGGGGTAGCCGCCGACGGAGTAGGGCGGCGCGGAGGCGTAGCCCCCCGGGATCGGGGGGTCGGCGGCGGGGGGGTGGGGGGGCGGCCCCGGCGGCGCGTACTGGTGAGGGTAGTAGTGGCCCGCGGGGGCGGGGGAGGCGTAGTCGCCGCTCCCGTGCTGCATCGCCGGCGAGGTGGAAGGCGACGGCGATTTCCTCTCTGTCTGTCTTTTCTCCCCAAAACTCTGATCCGATTCGATGCTTCGCGATTGCGTTTGTTTGCAGGGGAAGAAAGGGTTAAAGAAGGTGGGGGTTCGTTTCGGAGGTTGACGCGTTGGCTCTGGAGCGTGTCCGCGCGCGGTGGCCGTTGGATCTCGTCGGCGGGTGGAAGTGGACGGTCACGATGGTTGCTGTGGCGGTATTGGGTTCGCCTTTCGCGGGAGTTGTTTTGTCTGCCGCTCTGACTACGCGTCCGACACGGCGGGGTTACTGGTGTGTGGGTCGAATTGGGCCGTGCACGTCCTTCATCGTAAAGGCCCACACGACCCGGATTGGCTTTGAAAAATAATGCTTTTTAAACTGCAAATTAATGATTTAATTAGTGTGGGTAGTTTTGCCCAAAAGGAAAAATAGTGGGGCAGTTAATTGTGCTTCCCTGACAAATCTTCCTTGAATTCACTTTAATTTTGCTAAATATAAAGAGCATCAATTGTTTTAAAAATGATTTATTTAATTCTCAAATGGGAGCAACTACCATAGAATCTGAGCCTAGAATGCAAAAATAGAAAAACAAAGCAGAACCATCGGATGTAGCATCATTGGTACAGATTGAGGTGGAAGGTTCTCAATGTACATTTCAAGATAACCTCCTACAAAAAGTTACATACATAAGATAACTTTTGCAATAACCACCTCAAAACTCTCAATATCAATCATTCAACTCTTTATTAATAAGAGCACTACTTCTCAATTATATTCGGGCGCCAACCACGTAACTACAGTTGCACGTCCACTACCAGACACTAATGCGCCCGGTATTGTTATTTATTATGACTACCTCTATGGTTGCACATCCTGTAACTACATGCAACTATATTTATGTATTTTTAAAATGAAGAAAGGTATAAAATAAAAGGGGAAAATTAAAATTAAAATAAGAAGAAGAAAATAGACAACATCCGACTGTGAGGAGGCAACAACACATGTAGGCCATGTTCGGTTCGTAGGTTTTGCGAAGGAAAAGCGCTGGAATTGCAAAACAGAGAAAAGGAAGCTGGAGCAGCGTCCGGAATGGAGGAAAGAGCATATTCATTTCCCCTGCAACACTTTCACAGGATGCTCATTTCACAGGAAAATAAAAATCCACTATGATCTCTGGTTTTCTCACCCTTTCGTGGATGCCCCAGGCAAAGCGTGGGAAGGAGAGAAAATATTGCGGTGCTTAATGGAGTTGGGACCCACCATCTTCCTAGGCGACAATGTCAGTGGACAAAGTTGCTGACAAGAGTGTTGCGCCTGCATGCATGGTTATTACTCTATTTCCTTGTGGGACCCATCTATCCTATACTTCTACTACTGCCATCCGAACACATGAGGTTTTATGTTTTCTATGTTTTTGCATTTCAATGCTTTCACACTACATTTTGACCATATTCGTACGTTTTATTCAACCCCTCTGTTTTCTATTCCAGTGTTTCAAACAGGGTCGTAGTTGTGACGCCCTCGATTCAATCGTACATTAATCATACACGCAAATGCATACGATCAAGATCAAGGACTCACTGGAAGATATCATAACACAACTCTAGACATAAATTAAAACAATATAAACTTTGTATTACAAGCCAGAGGCCTCGAGGGCTCGAATACATAAGCTCGAAAACATAAGAGCCAGCGGAAAGCAACAATATCTGATTACAGACATAAGTTAAACAAGTTTGTCTTAAGAATGCTAGCACAAAAGTAGCAACGATCGAAAAGGCAAGGCCTCCTGCCTAGGGCCCTCCTAACTACTCCTCGAAGTCGAACTCCACATAGAATCATCCTCGGGGTCCTCTGACTCCTGGACTCCATCATATGATCGCAATAACCGGGAAAGGGGAAAAAAAGTAGCAAAGCAACCGTGAGTACTCATCCAAAGTACTCGCAAGCAAGAATCTACACTACACGTGCATTGGTATCAATGAAATGGGTAGTATCTGTTGACTAAACTGCAAAATGCCAAAACAAGAGGGGGATAGCTAGTCCTATCGAAGACTACGCTTCTGACATCCTCCATCTTGAAGCATATAGAAGAGAGTAGATGGTAGGTTCATCAAGTATCATTGTATAGCATATTCCTACCCGGCGATCCTCTCCTCGTCGCCCTGTGAGAGAGCGGTCACCGGGTTGTATCTGGCACTTAGAAGGTGTGTTTTATTAAGTATCCAGTTCTAGTTGTCATAAGGTCGAGGTACAACTCCGGGTCGTCCTTTTACCGAGGGACACGGCTATTCGAATAGATAAACTTCCCTGCAGGAGTGCACCACATTACCCAACATGCTCGATCCCTCTGGCCGGACACACTTTCCTGGGTCATGCCCGGCCTCGGAAGATAAATATGTCGCAGCTCTACCTAGGCACAACAAAGAGGTCAGCATGCCGGTTAAATCCTAAGCGCGCATGGCCCTGGGCCCATCGCCCGTTGCACACCTGCATGTTGCGTACACGGCCGGTGAGCAGACCTAGCAACCTCCATTACAAAGGAAGTTGATTTACGCGGTCCAACCCGGTGCGCGCCGATTAGTCGCTGACGTCAAGAAGGCTTCGGCTGGTACCACAACGTTGAGTGCCCGTAACTGTTTCCGCGTAGTTGGTTAGTGCGTATAGGCTAGTGGACAGACTCAGATCAAATATCCAGATCTCGTTAAGCATGTTATTTGAAGTATCCGCGGACGCCGACCAGGGATCAAGCCCACCTGTCTCCTAGGTGGTCACAACCTGCCCTGTCGCTCCGCCACAAAGTAACAGTCGGGGGCCGTCGGGAACCCAGGCCCACCACTACCTGGATGAAACCACCTGCCCCTTCAGCCCCCACATCAGAATCACTTGCGGGTACTCTACGAGCCGACCCGACTTTAGTCACCACATGTATAAATATAGTATGTATGTATATACCCGTGATCACCTCCCGAGTGATCACGGCCCAATAGTATAGCATGGCAGACGAACAAGAATGTAGGGCCACTGATGAAGTACTAGCATCCTATACTAAGCATTTATGATTGCAGGTAAAGGTAACAACAGTAGTAGCAAAGACAGGCTATGCAGCAGAATAGGATTAACCGAAAGCAATAATATGTTACACTACTCTAATGCAAGCAGTAGAGAGAAGGCATAGGCGATATCGGGTTGATCAAGGGGGGGGGCTTGCCTGGTTGCTCTGGCAAGGAGGGGTCATCGATGACGTAGTCGTACTCGATGGCATCAGCACCGGTCTCGGGGTCTGTCGGAGAAGAAGAGGGGGGAAGAAACAGTAAATACAGGGCAAATAAAGCATCACAAACTATAACAAGGCAATACACGGTGTCAGGGGTGATCTAACGCATGTATAGGTGATATCGACAAAGGGGGAAAACATCCGGGAAAGTATTCCCAGTGTTTGGCATTTTCGGACAGTCAAACCGGAGGGGGAAAGTTGCGTGTTCGCTATTCTAGGGATGTGTTGCGGACGAACGAGCTGCGTATTCAGATTTGTCTCGTCGTTCTGAGCAACTTTCATGTACAAAGTATTTCCATCCGAGTTACGGTTTATTTTCTATTAATTTTCTAAGTTTTATTCATTTACTAAAATTACTGGATTTATTATTAAAAAATTAAATAGCAAAAAGCTAAGTACACCCGGTGCAGTGCACCCAGAGTGCACTAAGGGGCTGACAGCGGGGCCAGCAGTTGACTGGCCCACAGTTGACTAGTCAATGGGTCCCACGGGACCCGTATGTTAGTGTCTCAGCCAGTACCTATTTATTTTTATTTATTTTTAACTTAATTCCTTAATCCCTTTCCTCTCTTTTTTTCTTTATAGACCGGCCCCATGTGCAGTGGCTAAGGCCACAGTTCGATGACTGGGAACGCACACGGGCGCTCCCAGCGCGACGCCGGCGGCGACGACCTTGGCGAGGAGGCGCAACGCAGGGGCGAACTAGTCCCGCAAGGCCGGTGAGGCCAGCGTGTGGGCACGCGGCCAGGAAGTTGGGGCGAGCCCTGGAGAAGCAGGGGATTGGGGGCAAGTGCGTGCAGGCGCGACTCCTCGCACGGCCATGGCGAGCGCGCGACGGCGCTCCGAGTGTGCGGGCGAGGGGGCGTCCGGGCGGAGCAGGATACAGGGGGACGGCGGCCGCGGTGACAAGGCAGCAGCAGCATGCTGTAGCGGATACAGACGGCGCGGCAGCAGGCAGCAGGTACAGCAAGTGGCGGCGGGGAAGGCAGCAGCATGCGGCAGTAGAAGCAAGGCGGCCCGAGTG